AAACAGGAAAAGTTTAGTCTGATTAAATGTCAGATGATGAGAAAAAGGTTTTGTGTCTTTTTGTACAGTGTCTGTAAACTTCTGATTTCAACTGCACATTGTCAGACTGATGAGAAGTGTTCAGAATGAATCCATTTATTGTCACTGGATAAATCGGTGGCGTTAATAAAGTCGCACCTCCGACGTCTTTTCACAAACACAGGGACACTGTAAAACCACAGAGCTTCCTGCTGCCTTCTGTTCAACGTGAGGTAAAGAAAGTGTGACTGATCAGACCAGGACACCTTCCATTGGTCCGTAGTCCGGTTCTGACGCCCATGTTCCTTTCTATCATGGCAGCATGAAGGTTTCAGTGCTTCAGTAGCTCTTTAACACCTCATAAGACCTGCAGTGTGGAGATGCTCTGACTCTCGTCAGTCTTCATCAGAGTCTCAGATCCTTCAGCTGTTGATTCTTCCTTCATCAACAGTTCTACCTCAACAACCCAACATCTGTTCCCTTGCTGCCTGACTCTGTACGTCCACCCTGCAGGGGCCGATTTAACCAGATCATCAGTGTTTTCACTTCACTGACAGCTTTAACATTGAGGCTGATTGGTTTCTATTATACAGCTGATAGTCTGAGCTCATGTGATTCTGTGGAGCCCAGTTAAGCTCCAACTATAAAAACCACCAACAGGAGAGTATGGTCCTTGTTAGGAACTTCTCAGTAAACTCATCCTTTGGTTGTTCATCTGCACTGAAATTGTCAGACTAGTTTAACTTCTTAGCTCTGGCTCCACTCCAGTGAGGTATCTGAAGTCCTGAATGTGCTCCGTTCATCAGGACGGACGTCTGACTCTCTCCGAGCTGCTCGACAAGATCGACTACGTAAAGATCAGCACCATCACCGACTACGGAGGGATGAAGGTGGAGGAGCACGACGAACTGTGATCTGAGATTAGAAATGAATTATGGAGATCCTTCATGAAACGGTCAGCACGAGAAGCTTAGTTTGAAACCCTGCTGAGATACAAATTCAGAGCTCCACCTGCAGTAAAAGACAGTTTCTGAATCTACACACAGCCTAAAGAGATGTTTTCTGTGTGTTTATGAAGTGATCGCTACCAGCTGATATTGTGTCTGTTTGAACTCCTGTTGAAATAAAGAGATACCTCGGTGCTGGATGTGCAGTCCTGAGCTGTGGCTTTCATTTAATAACATGACTGGATCAGATTTCCAGCCACAGCATGAACATGAACACAGTTTTTCTGCAGAATGTGCAGCAGGTTTCTACAGACTTCACTAATAAAGGAGGAATTCTGTCTGATAGAGAGTCAGTGAAGGTACAGTCACCACTTCAAAAGATAAGATTTAATTCAGAATGGAAGTGGATGTCACATGAAAACAAAAGTTCTACAACAAAACATAGTTCAAACATCATCAAATTAGATCAAAGCTGTTGACGTGATGAAAGAAGTTAATCCTCCTTTCACACCTCGCAGACGCCCGGTGAAGGTTTACTACGAAGAACTGCAGTCTTCAGATCCTTCGTCTCACACCTGCATCACTGGACGAGCCTCTTTGGCTCTGAGGTCGACCCCAGAGGCCGCGAACCCGGTTCCACCCTGTCGGGACACGAGTCTGTCAGAACCACTTCAGAACCACCAGTTAGGAGTGAAACAGTAAATCCTGGTTCTGAATCAGACCACAGAACGTCAACAGTAAAAAACAGAAACAGTCGGCTTGCTCCTCAGGCAGTGAGTCAATTATCAGTTCTTCCTGGTTATCGGATCAGACATTGAGCAGTTTTAAATGATCGGTATCGTTCTTTAAGAGCGACTTCTGATACTTTGGTTATTTTGGCTCTGATGCCTCCATCTGCAGAGACCTGAGCAGAAATGTCTGATTGGTTTAGTTGAAATCATGTTGACGCCAAGATTCTAATTTTTACTGCAAATGTATGCTGGTTCTGAATATAAGTTGGTTTCCAACTTGATCACTAATAATCAGAATCTCTAATCTCTAGTCTGCTATCAGGTCTACACCAGTCAGTCTGGATCGTTTAATCCAGTGCACAAGAATCACATCCTGGACTTAATGGAAGTCCAAACCAGACGGGATTCTGTGGTTTTTACGCTGATTTGCTAGGTTCTGATCGGTACTGACCCTCTGCAGCCGAATGATGTCTCTGTCGGACAGCTTGTCTCCGGTCACCGGGTCCGTCATGTCCTTCCTGATCAGCTTCTCCACGCACTCCTCGGTCACCACCGTCCCCCTGAACAACACAGTCATTTACCATCCAGCAGAGAACATTTAAGATCTGGACGTGACGCCGAGGCTGGAACTCACGAAGGTCTGAGGACGGCACAAGGAACGCTGTTTCCCAGAACGTCTCTGGTTACGGCACAGATGTATCTGTCCTGAGGAGGAGACGGGATTAATCCACGCTGTGATTGGAAACCTGCCCAAACGTGTCCTGACTGCATCAGCAGACTGATTTACGTTGTTGGTAGTTATTATATAACTGTAACCAACAATAAATGAGTCTGTGTGTTAAACCTGTGGTGTATCTTATATCTGCACCATCACACACAACTGAAACGATAAAGATCCAAGAACTGATGAACTACTGTTGATGTGACTCTCTGTACTCTAGAGATCATCAGAAAAACTGAAAATCATTTGAAGCATCCAGATTAAATGCTGCACATTTAGCACTGAAACACATTTTATTGTTGATTAATTCACATTTCTTTGCAGAAATCTGTTTGCAGTTTGACACAAGAGTGTTTTTTTTTGGAAATTTAGTCAAAAAAGTAAATTGACCACAGATAGATATGGAGAACCTTTCTACAGCCAGTGTGCTGACATCTGTGCCAGTTCAGGTTTCAGCCGTTGACCTTGGATGATGGTGAGCAAACTGACCTGGCGGTTGAGCAGAGCCACTCGGTCCAGGCTCGGGTCCAGCGGCGTGAAGCGCACCGAGATCAACTCGTTCATCTTAATGGGACGTCCAGACATCGGACACAACACGGCTTTGCTCTGAACGGTATCAGAAATAGAGAGAAAAGAGGGTTTTATTACAAAAACCGTCACCAGAATCCAGCAGTGTAAAAACTGTACCTGGACCTCAGGTCAACCTGCCTTCATTTGACTGAACTGGACAAACAGAGAACATGATGACATTCAGAACAAACAGCTAAACCTGGCGACGGCTCCGACTACACACTGAGCAACAACCTCATGAGAGACTGAGGCGGAGAGGTGAGTTACGCCTGCACCAAAACTGTGTCTGCTCTGCTTTAAACTAAATAAAACATGAAGCCTGATGTTAGGTTTCGTTTCTAGCAAAGTGGAATGAAGGCAGAAGTCTGCAGGTAAAATGCAGCCGTTAATAATGTAGTCATTCAGTGATTAACTTTTTGTTTGTTAGAAACTCAAAGTCATATATGAGAAATCTGAAACAGCAAAACAAACAAACTTATAAACTTCGTGGGTTCAGTCTGGAGGTTCTCAGAGGTTCTAAACATCTTCCTCTGGATTTAATATGTTCGTTCTTTTATGGAAATTAAAAATGTCCAACATCCAAACTGACTAAACACAAAAAAAGCAGAAAAAAAGTTAATCTGATCCCATCTTGACCTTTAGATGAAACCGACACACTGACCAGGAGGTCTAACGGGTAAGTAATAAGTCTTTTCCATTTATTCAGTTCCACAACAGGAGAAGCACTCACTGGTTTTTTGAGGAGTGTGGGTTTGGCCTCTGGCGTCAGAGTGGGGATCCAGAAACTGGGCAGGCTCTGGCTGGACGTGGAAGCTGAGGCAGCAGTGGATGGTTCTCCTGAGCTCCTCTGGGTTCTGGTCTTCTCGCCCTCTTTGACAGGCCCTGAAGGTCAGAACAGCCACATTTACAAAAACAAAACATGAGTTGCTCCTCATGAGGAAAGTAAAGCGAGACATGTTAAAACTGCTGAACTGAAGGCACCTCAACAGTGGCGACAACAAACTAACTCCTCCTGGCAGAAATATGACTTTAAACAAGTTTAACTCCCAGAAACAGCTGGTTGGAAATACTCTCTGAAGTACAAGTGATTTGATCAGAGTCTAATTACAGCAGGAGGAGTCACTGAATCACATTTTACATATAGAGAGTTTTTTCTGTCGTGACAAGAGGCACCAAATGAAGTTCAGCTCTACTAAAACACATTAATGGTGATCAGGATTGATATGAAACGGACCAGAAGTGAACGGGTTGATGGGTTTGGACACGATGCTGTTCTCTCTGGTTTTAAACCTCTCCACTCGCTCCCTCTCCTCTGACTTGGACTCCAGCTGGCTGCTGCTCTTCTGAGCCTGTTTCTGCTTCTCATAAGCCTGAACATCAGAGGAGGAACACACAGGGAACAAACTGAAATGAGCAGATCATTTGCTTTACTACATTATGCATTAAAGAGAATTTATTTGCATAAAATTACAACGTTTACCTTCATCTTTTTGGCAATTTCTGTCTTCTGGTGAAGAATATATTCAAGAATGGCCTGTTTTTCATACAAGAATCCATCTGGGCTGAAGACAAACACAACGATGTTCATATATTAATTGTTACACACTGTGTTTGAATGTGTGTTTTGTGTTATTGATTGAATGAATTGCCTTTAATAATTTAGTTTAATCTCAGGACATTCAGTATGAATGTAAAAAGCTGAACAGTATTTTCCAGTGGCACCAGTTTGAGCCTCTTACTGTGTAAAGCAGATAAAATAAATGCTGTCGTGTGACTGCTGAAGGCTTCTGCATTAGATTTACTCTGAAGTGTAAGTTTTACACCGAGCAGAAAGTTTCACACGTAGTAGTTTTGTGATTGGCCACATGGTGGCGCTGCCACAGCCATTTTTTGACATTTGCTTCACTATTCTGTTGCCTTTTACAATTTGAGAGATATTTACCTATTTTCCAGAACATGACTTTAGTCTTTGAGCTTCGTTTCTATTAAAATACAGACAGAAGAAAATATACTAAAGAGTGAAGATAACAGTAATGGGATTACTTTTAAAATGGGAGCCACAAATGTTTGCTGACCACCTGAGGAAGGTTAAAGAAAGACAACATGACAGTAAACTTGCAAACATTGTTGTCTGGTGACTGGTTCTATGTGATTGTGTCAAAGTGGAGAGTGTCAGACAACCAAAGTCAATCAAAAGCAATGAAGTGGGTCAACAGCGCTCTGAGTAGAAATACATTCATGTTTAGATTTGTGTCTGGAACACTGGGTCTGACTGAGCAGCTGCTTCCCACTACAGTGAACAAGTGATCATTTATTTAAAAAGCTGATGTTTTACATTTAAAGGACAATGTTAAAGGTGTTTCACTGTTCAATTCAGTTCTATGTACACAGCACCGGTTCAGAACATTTGTCATCTGAAGACGCTTCACACAGAAGATGACACAAATCCCAATAAATCAACGTTCTTTTTGGATTCCCTGTGAGCAACTTAACCAGGCTGCAGCACTTTGGATAAATATAAAAATGTGTCAGACTTTGCTTAAACTGTGAGATGTTTCCAACTCATCTGGACTCATCTAGTTTAGTTGAAGGTTGGAAGTTGTGCAGCTGTTTTCTGTGGTCAATTCTTCATCAAGCTAAACAATCAGGGAGGCATTAAATATATCAAACCGAGGTGTTTGATTCATTAACCAATGACACTAATGAATCGTCAGCGTGTTGCAGACAAACGTACGTCACCACAGGATCCTGGCAGGGCTGCAGCGACAGGCAGCAGCAGTCAAAGTCTTTGATGGCATCTTTGCCCAGTCGGATGCTCTGTGTCCCATAACCAGACGCCGCTGAGCAGGAGGAGGACACACGGACAGATTAGACAGAAGATAATGTCCACATCTATATCTATCTGTCTGGCTATACATCAGCGGTTCTGTCTGGAATTAAACAGATAAGAGGAAAACAGATTCCTGTTCTCATTGACAACTCATTCTCTCTGCCTCAAAATGTTTTGGTTTTTTTTGGTGTCACAATGATTCCAAAGAAACATTCAGACCATCATCAGGAAGATTTAACACCCTGACACACAGGAGGAGTTTTACACAACACTAAGAAACAGAACAGAAGCTCAGAAACAGTTTGGTTCTGGAGATTTTCTGTTCATTCTGACAAGTCCAGTATTAACACAGTAATGACTTCTGAACTCAATCATTGATTCTATGGCTAAGAAAGCTTTAGTATTTCAGTGTAAAGTTCTTACCCCGTAAAAATTGACTTCTTTATAGCTTTATATTTATATTCATGTCAGTTATGCAACATTTAAGCATCAATCTGGTATGAAAAAGACACAAGACTAAGAGTTTCTTTGAATGCTAGTATATCCAAAGATCTACCTGGTGCACAGAGTCTAAATGACTAAAACATAGGTAAGAAATAAAAACATCCATCAACATACAGCATCCCAGTTTAACTTGATGTGTGTGACTGTGTTCCTCCAGCATTCCTGGTCTCTCCACTTCGTCAGAGGAGCAGACATCCCTTTATTACCCCTTTCAGACAAGACGATCCTTGAATCTGATGATAATTTATTCATGTCTGAACCTTCCTGGTTGCGATTTTGTAAAAGTCGAGCTGTAAATCTCACCAGGTCGAACCGAATGACATTTGGCACAAGTGTGAATGAAACCATCACATTGAGAGAAAGACATCAATAACTTCATTATATTCATATAAACTACAACTGATCGGTCCGGATCAGAACCTAGCAGCAGGTCAGACTGTGTCGGTCCACCTCAGACGGTTTATCAACTCTTCAGGACTATTTCTGTTGATCAGCTGCAGGTAAATATTTAGAGTTTTGAACTTATAATTTCTCTATTTCAGAAATCAGAGATGATCTGAGCTGCTGTTAGTTTAGTTTATTGTGTTTGTGCTGACTCTGTGGAGGATCAATATCAGGTTCTACCAGCACCGAGGCTGAATGTCTGAATGCAGCTGTGAGGAACATCAACAGAACCTCAGTCTGACGGATTACTGAAGCCAGCAATGTTCCGTGTCCTCTGTGTGAAGCTAATGCTGGTTCTCACCTGTGTCTTTCTTCTTCTCGTGGTACGTGTAGACAGCTCCAGCCGTGCAGTTCTTCCCGTGGCGGGTCATATTGCTGCAGATTTATTTGTACCTTGGACAGAAAAACGGTGTAATGATGCTGCTGTGAGCTGGATGCTAATGTTAGCCGCTAACGTAGCTGCTAATGTAAACAAAACGCACAAATGTAAGGTTTTCATACAAGGTCACTTTTAAAGAGACAGAAACGCGGCTACGACTTACGAGCAGCTTTATAACGAATTATTACCTGCGCTGTTAGAGAGAATACCAGGAATTAAAGGTCCGTTTAACACCCAACCACAACACGTAACCTGCTGCTCTTCTTCCGCTTCCTCTTCTTCTTCGTCGGTGTGGACCCGCTCCGCCTCCTTCTTCTTCTCCTGTCTGCATTACTGCCCCCCTGTGGTGAACAGTGTGTAGTACGTTTCTGCAGGTCGTTCCAAATAATGCGGTAAAGACAGTTTCCTGCAGCCTTCAGCCTCTTTGGACTAGACAGAAAACCCCGATTTACCAAACTGTTATCAGACACATATTTTATATATGCATGTACTGTTGATCCACAGCCTCAGATAGGTTTACTTCTGACATGCTAAACAGGAATTACATGAATCACATGAGTTCTCCTGCAAACCAGCATCAGATCAGCTAAATCAGCTGAGCACAAACACACAGAGAACTCTAATGTGAGGTCAAACACTGTAGGAAGAAATACAAGATAATGTGTTTAATTACGGACCTGTCAGATATTCAGACAGTTTGGGCAGAAGTTAGTTTAACAATCCTCACATCCCACTAAACAGACATTTCTGTGTTGTTAGATATTTCAAAAATTAAGTCAGTCATATGCTAACATATAACACACAACAAATATTAATGAATATAAATAAATAAATGCATTGGTTCTTATACAGACAGTGAATAGAAAACAGAAAA